TAAGCACTCAAAGAACCAGCTATGGACCTAAAATAAAACCAACCGCCAATTAAAATAGTGACAAATAGGAGCGGAAACTATGAACAAAGCTATTGATAAGATTGTTCTCATGGAGCGGTTTCTATAATTAACATCAGAACTTATCATGAAGTGAGTGGTTGGTTCGTTAATTGTGTTTTTCTTTGATTCAGAGCTTATGGCGATAATTTCGGCCAGTAGAGCAGTGTTTCTTTTAGTGATAACTGAGGATTTTGAAATTTTTTCAATGTTATTTGAAGATATACACGAAGAGCGTTATCAAAACGAAACAGTCATGTTTAACATGGAGATAATGATTTTTATCTGCAAGCCTCAGCTTTATCTTCGTCAGCACCCTCTAACAGTAAATTCAGTTTTTGTAATCAAAACAACAATTGCGCATAAATTAAAGAAGCGCACTTCACGACCGTTCATTGTGTCGAAGTGCTCTCGTTTTTAAACCAACAACCCTTATTATAAACACCACTTATTTTAATCAATTATTGTAGTTTCTCTTCCCGAATGGTTTCATACGTCAATCATTCATTCCTTGATACGTCTCAAGTCCCACAGAGCACAACGGTACTATTAAAAAGACATCAAGAGGAGCTTCTTAAAGATGTTATCCACTTTTTCAATGTTATTAGTGCAGCCAAAATTCCAATGAAGACATTAGACCCGAATTTTATGATAAAGGACATACAATGCTACCTAAAGGCTTTTGTACAAGAAAACCAAACATGGAAATTAACATTCGATTTAATGACGGTAAACTAAACGGTTCATGTAATTATTTTATCTTAGAACTGACCTTTTCAACAGGAAACTTTCGTAAACCTGAATGTAAGACGCGAGCAAAATTTAATTTATAAATATTGATTACGGCAAATATGCCGTAAGATTAATGGATTATTATAAAGGACATCCTGTTATCTTTCCGCTTTTTTAAAATACGATTTCCATAATACCCACGGAAATTGAATTGTGTTTCCTGTGCAAATGAGACTAATCGCCAAAGTGTGGTTAATTGAAGAAGAGATTTTCCTTTTTTTCGCAAATTTATGCGCACGTATACACGTAACCGTCTGGAAAAGAAAAAAAATGACGATCCATATGGCGTATTAAATAATAAAACATCTTGCAATACTCGTTGTAAAACCACCACCCATTTCCGCTCATCCGGAACGTAAACCAATACATTGTCCACATATCCACACCTAAATTCTCTAGGCTCACGTGCTACGTAATGTGAGATTCTCTCGAAGTGGTAGGGTAGAAGGACTAGAAGGGCACAAAGACATAGAACTGAACCCGGCCTACCTTATGTGAAGCTACCCCCGTGAAAGCACGGGAAGTAGTCCAAGTGGTGTTGTATGACAGGGGTATCTGCTTGAACACGTGCGCAATTCTTAGTGGTTCATATTCTAATGCTTTTCGCCTTGTCAGATGTCGACTGATGTAAAAGGGCTTCTTGATGAGCAAAAAAAGAATGCCGCACTAAAATAAAATGGAAGCCGCTAAACGACTCGAAACGGTAGATTAAGGGATAAGCTACCAGTTAGCGCGGGGTAGTCCTCCGATCAAAAAAAAATAGGCGAACAGATAAAGGGAGGGACCATCCCATCTTACTTTATTATTCTGTCAACTTTAAAATCAAGGCTTATGTAATAGTTCTAAACAAAATAAGGCGATGAATTTTTATTTATTGTGGAAATCCGTTCCGATTAATCAGAATTACATTAAAATGTTCAATAATTTGTCGTTTCCTCTAAACACCAAACATTATCATATCTAGGTGTGACGGTTTTAATACTTACCGCTTTAGGCATGTGACATTTTTGGAAGAGGTCATAAAAAGTGGACAGATATGATCGGAAGAACTGCATGTGATTTTCATGATTCGTTCTCTTCTTAGACAAGGAATAGAAGCACAGAAGGGATTTTTTTGAAAAACGTTTAAAAATCGAATACCTAAGTAATTAAGCTCTGCCTCAACTTCTGGGCAATTTTCGGATTCATTTTAACAATTCTCGCAATTTGATCATACCGTTTGCTATGAGGGTTTTAGGACCTAAATACACAACGCATTTCGTCAAAAAAGGATTCTGCGTACACATTTGTTGAATAAAATCGCGTTTATAAATGAATATAGAGCACTGGAATTCCTTTATAAACGAAAAATAAAACCGCTTACTGCAATAAACGGAAAATTTATTCTGTGGAGGGTTATCGTAAATGAAGTAAATAAAAGGCAAAAAAATAAATAAAAAGCAAAGTAAAAAACAAATGAATAGGGTAAAATTAGTAAAAAATGGCAAATTGGGTCAATTTTTGATGGAACGCCTTGTATATTTTTCAAAAATTAAATAGATCTTTTCTTTCTGATTTCAAGAATATGTTGACATTTGCTTTAGCCGTTTTTGAAATATTCGTATTTATAGTATATTATCAAATTGTTTTACCAATTGCCATAACAAAACAAATGACCATTATTATTTATTATCAATTAATATATACATACCCTGGAAATAACGTAGACTTATCTTGACTTTTTAATATTTATTTTCAATAAACAAAATGTAACCAGAATTTACAAATGTTGGATATCACCTTTACTTCCACTTTAAAAATTTACAAATTTTCCATTTTTTACTAACTGCGATATTCATTTGTTTCTACTTTATATTTTCTGGCGATTTATGAAAAACTAAACGGATCATGGAAAAACTAAGTGTGTGTGTTCCGAATCTCTAACGATATATCACTTGATATAGTTATTTTTGTAAATAAGATCATTATGACCTCCTCTATTTTATTCTCCAACCGTTCGCCTAGTGGGTAATGGAAACAATTGGTAGTTCCAAAAGCGCAATTGTTTACCACCGAACAAAAATAGGTAACTACCAGTATCAAGTGACACATGGTTAAAAGGCCAACTAAGTTTTTATTTAAAAAAAGGTGAAAAATTAATTATTACCCAGATAATTATCTGTATTTTTCTTCTGAGATTTTTTTCAAAAGTATGTACTACAGCAGCTATTGATTGATAATAATTTTGTGCAATATTTAGTTAGCGGTGCATTCTTTTCCAAAAAAACAAGGGACACATTAAATACGGTAGCAATTCCTTCCTCATATAATCCTCATTATCAAAGAATAAAATATTTGATTATCGTTTAATCGAAAAAATTGGTTCGTTGATTATCAATTATTAAATAATCGATTAGTCGACAAATTTTGTAGCTATTGTCAATTTTTAACTTCAAATTGCACAGATCTACTCATGTCTTGCATAAATGCGTAAAATTAGACCCATCATATGCATATAGTACGGTATTTGATTTGCAAATGCATCGGGTAACTTCAAACGTAGAAGCTTTTTTGTAATACACGTTAAAATTGGTTTTTTAACTCCTTTAGCAAACAGCAATGTGAAAATCGCGAGTATTTATGGAAAATACTTCTTTAATTAAGCAGGAACCATCGTCATAGAAGAATGGATCTAACACCTTTACCGAGGTTTAAATTTGCTCTATCCAATTTTGCACATTTTCCAAAAATTCTTGACCTGTGGTGCTCTCTTAATATAAGTGGCGAAATAGTTCTGATTTCGAGATAATTTAGTACATCTCCGAATTTCTTAAGAATGAAATTCTTCACAGTTTTTGACAAAAAAATGGCAGTTTAATGTTTCAATTTGCAAAAACTCTTCGATACAGCAACTCCATTTTTTAAAAAATCAGCTGACCTAGAGGGGAATCAATGGAACATGTTTTTTCGAATAAATTTATTTTATAAGCGTGAAATGGAACATAGTTTGTCTTCGAAATTGAATTATAAAAATGCTATCAACTCATCTATATGTCACCTAGGCAAAAGTTGAATGGAAAAATGAGCGGATGCAAATCTGGCCATAATTAGGCGCCAATTATGCGCTAATGGCGCCTAACCGCACATTCGATATTTGCATATGACCCGGCTAACCTCAACAGTTTTTTTCACTATAACTCTTCATTTTCAAGCGCAATTTATTCTAGGAAATCGAATCTTATTGTGCCGATTTTAGGAATGTGCTCAGTTATTGTGTTCCAATAACGAATTTCAAAATAATCAACTCTACCGAAATAGTTCCACTTAACAGCGAAATTCGATGACAAATGACAATAATTTGTGCTTGTACTCATTTTATTTCAGAAACAGTGCCAAAATGGGAGGGATCTGCCGACTTGAAAATTTTTCATGTATTCACCGCCTTTCGTACAATCCAATTGGGTATGAAAGAATGTGCCAAAATAAAATTTTCATTTAATTATCTTACACAGTTAATGGACGGTGCTTCCAAAGAAAACGCTTGAGTTTTCCTTTTGGAAATTAGAAGAATCATATTTCGTAGACGGGAACGAGTAAAATCGAAATTTAAAAAAAAGACAGCAAACCTTTAAACAAGATCATGGTTGATGCGAATCCCTGAATCACTTTAACATCACATCGTCATCATTTCAGCTAACTCGGAAAGCAAAAGCACAAAAACCGCGCACCTATGACACTACCGCGTGCACTAGAAGCACTGCTTCTGCAAACCATTAAAGAATGGAGAGTATTTGGCATTGTTGGAAACGAAGCATATCAAGTGCAATATTAACTCCTATCTAGCTTTCACTATCAAAATCATCCTTTATGTTTATATTGTATGAAATAGATTGTATCCGAAGCAGCAACGTATAATTTTTTAATTCATGAAAAACGTTGCGGCATAAATAAGTGTTTTTCCATTAAAGATTTGCACACGTTTTATTGCCCGTTTTGCAATTTTTGGCTGCGCTCGGACTTTTACTGTAGCATCCTGAAAACGAATCAAGTATGATCTTCCCGCTAATGACGGGCTTACTTCACCAAAATTGTTTTTAAAAAAAATGGATATGTACAATATTAACACACTCACACACATTTAGGTATAACATATTAACCTAGATTAAGTAATATTAACTTTCGGAATCTTTAGCGTGACGATGGTTTATTTTTGTTACGCAAGCCTCCTTTAAACACAAGGAGCGATATACATCTTCGTATGTAATTTCAGATGGCAAAATATAATGTACAGCCGCTTTTGTTTTACTTAATTCTAGAAATCATTGTGAAAAGTGTCTATTTACTGTTCGCGAGTTAATTAAATCTTACGTAATTAGAGGAGCCACTTACCTTCGTGTAAAAAATTGTTGTTTATTGGGGCTGGTGCGGCCGGCGTCGGGGTGTGTGCAGGTACTGGGGTCGTAATGATAGGTTTTCTGTCCTCCCCGGGGAGGATGGGATGGCTGTACTCTAAATACGAATTTAAATCCGGCACGCACATCGATTCGTACAACGAAACGTGGTTTGCCAGAGCCTTTTCTTTTTCTACGTCTGAAACAAGAAATCGTCCATCGTCAGAATCAATGGTTAATTAGCGACATGTTTATGGTTTTTTTTTGTTGCCAATGCGCACATCAAAATATAAACAATTGCTTTTTTTGGTGGTACATTGACGCTACTTATAGCTTACAATAATTATGATGCCAAGGATTATTATTAAAATACAATTATTAACGTACCGATCATTCAGTGTCATTAAAAAAATCAATGTGCACATTTCAAATTAAAAGACATTGAAAATCATACTACCTAAAATAAAACCATGATATAGCAAAGATAATACATAATCCAGATTCACACAAAATTGGCTAGATAATGTGCTCACTGCTCACAATTTGCAAATATGAATATAAAAACATGTGTCGATCGAATATTGATGTTTTAAAGCACATGCCGACTACTCTGAGGGATGGAACGAAGAAGAGTGACGGTTTCGGCAACATCGAATTTCTTTTCTGTGGTAAAAATTAGTCACACATCACAGATATGATGGTCTGAGATTCGAAGCGTTGTCTAAATTGACCATTTGGCTGGACATAAGATATCCAAAACAAACAGATTTAGATTATGTGAAAAGACTTTGTTCAACTTTCTTTCTTCTTAAAAAAAAATTTCATTGGCATGGTGGTAACACTTTCAAGGCGCCGACACATGGTAGAACAGTCCTTACTCATAATATGGGGGTTACATGTTCCCCAGTATTCGATCCCAAATATTCTAAACGTGCTTCGTAGAGTTGAAAAAAAGTGGTCCAGTCATTAGCAATCAACATTTGTGTCTGCAACCCCTTTATTATTGCGTAAAAAATATAAACATGAAAAATCGCTACTCGGCGGTTTTCGGGGGTACAGAGTCCATACATGCCCTCGAAATTGGACGGATGAGGGACCGGAATTGGGGGAACATCAGGAGTGGCGCTACGGAGTGCCAGGGGTGCAGTGAGGCAAAAAATTGCCCGGAGATGCCCAGGAGTGGCGATCGGGGAAACCATGGTGACTTTAGTAAAAATTGCCCCGAGTAACGATTTCCAAGTAATGTTTTACTTCACTGCACCTCCGGCACTTCGTACCGCCGCTCCTGGGCATCCTCGATCATTTTCGAGAGCAGATATTGACTCCCGAACCCCCAAACAACGATTTCTCCAGAAAATGTATATAATTTTACAAATAATGATGCAATAATAAATGCATTTTTGCACCTCTTACGGAAATTTCCAAAAGTGACTTAATCAGTATTGTAGAACACCTTTCTTCGTATTTTTCTGAACACTATGCCAAAAACCGCATATCGATACTAATTGTTTGCAAAAATTGACAAACTTTCGGCCAAAATCGTTCTAATTTCGCTGGTCTACAATCAAAATTAAATTTTAAGTGCTTTCATTAAGTAGTAAATTGCAATTTGAAATTTCACGTGGTGTGGAAAATTTGATGTAACAAAACACGTGTACGTTCAGATGGATTTGGGTATTTTTTCCAATATCTTACAAAAATATCACGGCTGAAACTTCAGTGAAGTTGGGACTAATGGGACTAGTGATATAAAGGGTGACTTATTTTCGACGGAGAATTAAATCACGCTATTGGTTTATTTGGGTAGGCCATGGTCTGCTATACGTATATCAAAGAAACACCGAAATTTACTCGTTCTTCAAATTCTGAAGATTCATTTATAAAAGGGATATGAAAATGGCAAAGGAAAATAAAGGAATTGTTGGTGTTTGAAGATATCCGACATCTCAAATAGGCCATCCTGTAGTTATTGTACTATATGTATGGCTATACAATATCAACTTGTACTGAAGCTGTTCGGAGACGAGTTTTTTGAAACCGGAATCTCTTCACTATCCATGAAAAACATATAGTGCCATTGTGTCCCAATATTGTAATTATACTGCCTTTTTCTCGTTCAGGATTCCCTATAGGAGCAAAACTTGTAGAAGTTTGTTGTTCGGCAATTTCAAAATGCCACAAAATAACGTAGGTGGTATTGGGACATCCACAGAGGGAGTTGAAGGAACAAATTGGTGAAATCATAAATCCTTATCAAAAAAGGAGAAAAAGAAACCACATAATTGCCGTTGAGTAAGTTTTTGACACTTGAAAAGGGAACCGAAACTATCTTATACACTCTTAGTTGCCTCATTAAGAAGAACTGTATTGAGACGAGTCAGGTGAGGTCATCGAAAGTTTCACAAGGTTGAAACTTAAGTAATGACGCTTAAAAAAGCTGAGAACTGCTCAACTTATCAACATAACATGTTTACTAGGTACTTGTTAATTTTTTATACCTTTAAAAAATGAAACAACGCATAAAAGTCTTGCAAGTGAATAACAAATTACAAAGAACGTCTTAAATGTTCTTACTTTTCCAAGTAGTTAATTGTTATCTGATGGCATGTATTGCATGCTACGTGATTTTTCTAATTATATATTACCTCGAATAAAACTACTGACATAAAGACTAAGCCGGCCTTTTGAATCCGCGCATCATCAAAATGTTAAAACACAAAAGTTAATTTACCTTTTTGTAACAATTCTAAGTGCTCCCAAAGGATATCTCCTACAAAAGGTGGCGCTCGCGCTTGAAACGCATCTTTTCCCATTGCACAAATATCCTTTCCTTTCATATGAAAATGATGTAAAGCTATACCTTCTAGTGAAAACTCTTTCATCGCCCATTGTATCCAATGCGCAACCTGACTTTCTGTCCATTGGCGAGGATCTGAAATGAAAACAATAAAGGATCACAAACAAAATTTCAATAGCGTTCGAAATAATACGAGTAAAGATTCATCGATGCATGGATCGTTTTGGAAAAATGTAGGTAATACACGCACGTGTGTAATAGACCGACGAACAATTCGTGCGCAGTCGACCAAACACTTTCATATCAAAGTAAAAATCTGTAATTATGTATGTGGGAACAATAGAAGATGGCTCAACCTGCGCTGTAAAACGTTTTTAATAAACGGTTATTGCGAAATTTTATTATCGATTTCGACTTTTAGCACATTTGATACTTTTGAGCACAAATAGTACCCCATTTGAGCACGGATAGTTGCAATTCCGCGTTCGATAGAAAAAAGTCTAATATCGTTGTATAATTGATTTATAAATCGCGTACGAAATAACTGTATATAAAAGGATATCCGGTCGAAATTTACACGATCTCTTGGTCGCCACTTTTTATTAATGGTCCCCAACCTATACGCTGTCGCCGTGCGAAAGGCTGCACTATTAAATCAGGATAGTAGGTGTATTAAATATTCATCGCTTAAATTTCAGCATACCATTGGAGCCCATTTCGTGTTGCAAAAAATTGCAAGTGTTTTGAATATTTTTCTTTGAAAGCAATGAACATTCCCACAACGCGCGTTAAAAGTGCCAAACAAAGTTTAATGGCCATTCGAATAGCAATTGTTCTTATTGAATTTTGTGCAATTCAAAGCTTAGGCTATGTGCCTCTACAGACAAATATAACATGATTTCATTTACATATAATAATTACGAGAGGGGAAGACGAGGTGATCTATATGAAATCGGTGTTTATTCAGGGTGGTCGCGGATCATTATATTCAAGATCTGATAATTTATGTAGATACCATTAAAATTAGTTTTTAGAATGCTCTTAATCTCCAAATAGCTGTAGCGAATGGAAAAAAGACAAATTTAATAGGGAACAGTCGCGATGCATATGAAACATCAGGCTTAAAACATCTTGTACAGACCATCGTCGCGGATTATGTTCTAACAACTACTAACAACAATTTACTCGAAACCAAAATTGAGAAACGAATTTGATCGCGAATTTTTCAGTCAATTTGAACGTTATTACACAAAATTTTCTGGAGGCAACGAAATTACAAAATCAAAATGGGCACAGTCAATATTTGGTTAGAATTTGGTACGAAGAAAAAAATATGGCAGGTACCATTAACTGGACTGAGCCTTAAAATGAACACAGTGAACATACAGAGAATTTTTTTTAAATAGTTAAATGTATACATAATAGGCTACGTATACTTTTAAAAAAATTTGCTGTGGCTAGCACAAATATCGCCCGCACACTTGCGCATGCATTATGTCTAAAAATAGGTGTACCAAATTTTCCAATCGATTCAATTGTTTAGCTGGAAATCAGAATTTGATACACTTGCGCATGCGCGATTGAGCCTAAAAGCTCTCCCTTTTATGTTTAAAAATATGTGTACCAAATTTGATTCCAATCGGTTCAGCCGTTTAGCCGGAAATAAGACTACAGACTCTAGATTTTGTTTAATTCGAACTCCTGTTGCTTCAAAACGTGTATTACCGTAAAAAAAGCAGGGGGTTATTTTTTACCCCAATGCACCTCCTGATGCAGTATTGGGTCTTATGGACTAATTGCCTCTCTTACTAGTTTGCGTCATTCTTCGATAATACTGCTGTCATTGTCACGTTTGGCAAGCACGTACTGTGTATGTCCATGCATTTGGAGGTGCGAACGCGCTATAGTATCACGTTATGGAACAGATGAACGTAGGCAACCAACATTACACGTGACAAACTGGAGCTGTTTTTACAGTTGTTAAACTGTTACCACCCCCTACCGTGTTAATATTTCAACCTTATTGTCATTGCTATATATCTCTGGGTTAAAAAATCACAATTTGATGCTAATAATAAAAATAATGACATTAAACCTAATGTGACATTAAATAATTATGGTTACTGTTTCCATTGCAGACGCTGATTATCATTTAAAACAAATTCGTGTAGAGTGGGATGCCTATTATACCCATGCATTTGATCCATTTTTCCACCCGCACGTTAGTAAGGATAAAAAATGACCCCCACTTTTTTGACGGAAATACACGTTTTGAAGCAACAAGAATTCCTTAAACAAAATCTAGAAGATGTCGGTCTGTCGGTTCGTCTGTACTCTCATTTCCTGCTAAACGGCTGAACCGATTGGAACCAAATTTGGTACACATACTCTTACACATAAAAGGGCAGAATCGCGCATGCGCAGGTGTAATGGTGGTATCTGTGCTAGCAACAAAAAAGATTTTTTTAAGTATACATAGCCCATGTGACGTATACATTTGAGAAAAATTCCCTGTACACGTATAGGTACTAAACGACAATGTCACCATTTTGGTCCCAGACGTTATCTTTTATTTGCAAATCTTAGCATTCGAATGGATGGAACAGAACCTTTTGTTCTTACACTCGGACTCGCTCCAATGTTATACCAATCACTAGACGTTGTTAGTGCTTGTTGGTGTTCAATAAACTAGCAGTGGTAATGAATCGGTGTTCTGTCAAAAATTTGTTGTACGAGCTATTCTCACCAGATTTTTTGACTAGGTCTAGTGTGACTAAAATTTATGGCAATCGTTAGTGCTCCGCATCATAACTGCTATTTGTTCGAGCTAACTTCATGACTTGCTCTTCCAGCTCTGAATTTGTTTCAATTTTATGAAAACATCAAGTCAAAAAATTGTTGATAGAATTTTAGGAAATACTAATCTGTCCGTACTTAATTTTGTCCCAAATACGTACAAAAAGAATTACAGACAGTAAAGCTTGAGAAGAAAAGCCGCCGAGTTGTCGAGTATGAAGGACCAAAAGAAGCATTTTTTTTACAAATAAACCAAAAGTTAAATATCCTACGTACACTCATCTGGCTCAATAATGTGTGCACATGCGCATTCATGAAATAGAGAATTTTTTAAACGACTCTCTATTGGTTTATTAAGTGTTGGAATGTGCTCTAAGCGTCGAAGTCTAATGAATGTTCACAATATTATTTTGATTCGGTGTTCAAAGAGCCCCAAATACCAAATTTCATTGAGATCGGAATTTTCGTCCGCTTAAAGGGGTGTCATTTTCCGATGGGAATCACATAACAAATTGAAAACAGCATACCCAAAATCCCTTGAAAAGCCGTTAAATCCATACTTTGTTACGGTTGTAAACACAAAACAAAAGATGGAATTTGTTGGTTTCAACAGGATGGTGGACCCGAGCATAATGCCCTATCGGACACATTTCCCAGGAAATTTGCATGATTGGACCGTTGTGCGCGGATGCACCATCCTGTTGAAACCAACAGTTTCCAACTTCGGATTTTTGTGTGTAGGACACTATGTTTGTTGCTCTATTGCAGAATGGGACTGCGATAGTAGGACGGCTCAGTAGAACGTACATTCTGTCAGCACCCGCAAGAGGTTTAAGCGCTCTGATTGGCTGGTGCCGAATACCAGTACAATTTTTCCGTCAAAATGCACATTGCGTCGGCACTTGAGAGGGCGCTGGTGTCGAATAACAGTGCATTTTACTATCAGACTATACGTGCTGTCAACACCGCACTTGTTGCGAAATATTGGTAGTGTATGCCTGTATGGTGTATGGTGAATTTCCTATCAGGAAATTTTCCGAGGACGAATCTTCAGGGGACAACATTTTCGAGGGTGAATCGTATTGATGGCGAATTTACGAGGGCGAGTTTTCCGGAACGAATTTACCGCACACGGTACAGACAGAACAGGTACGAAAAAATTACCCAAAAATTGAAAGTGGAAAACGAGGATAAATGAACCGTCAGTCAACACACGTTAACACCTAACTCCGTAATACAAATTCGGATGGGTCCTTGAACCCCTTCTGTGGATCGTGATGTACGATGGGGCACTAAGGATACCAACCGCGAATGGGGTGGAACTGGTGGGTTTTACCGACGATCTCATGGTAATAGTATGCGATCGCGACAAGGACGAGGCGATCCGCAACCTGCTGACGACGATTGACCAAGTGGACCCGCGGACGACATAAAAGGTTTCCCGATGCTCATATTGAATTTCATGCAATTCAGTTCATAACTAACGGAGATGTAAAATCGATCGGACATTTCTAAAAATATATGAGAAAGATGATTTTGTATCAAATGTGGGGGTGTTCCACAGGTTCACATTCGGTCCACTATTGTGCCTTGTTAGGTACGTAAAATTCCAAAAGTAGCAAACTTTTAAGGCTGGCTCACATAGCAAAGTTTTACGTTAGTTTTTGAGAAAAATGAAATGGCCAAAATACGGACTCGGGCATCTCGTTTGACATAGTAGGGCAGCAAATTACCGTGCGGTACGCCAGAAGCGTAAGCGGCAAGATAATGAAAAGCTCGCGGTCATTTTTTACTTCTGGGGGGCGAAAATCAGGAAATCAGGTAATGGAAGAATGGTAAAAACGGTCGTTGTGGAATTTACACTGGTAACTGTGACAATAAAGCATTTTTTTCCTTGATGTTTTGTAAAACACCATTAGGTGCAGTCTGATGAGAACCGTAATCGACAAACAAGGGCATTTAGCAAATTGGTGAGCAATAGTTTTTATTGGGGAAAGCAATCCACAATGGATCCTGAAAACATATGATGCCAGTGGCATCGACTACAGCGATGAAGCGGTTCTCGAGTGCAAAATGTGAGAGATGAAGAACATCCTGGTGATATGTCGGATCGATGACCAAATCCAAGGTAATCGTAGTCCCCGTTCAGCAGTGTCCAGAGGAATGGTGAAGGATGGAGAAGATGGGCACCTTAATGTATTATTGGTAATAAACTAACATTTTCTTCTTTATTCTTCATTGAAGAAGAGAAAGCAGTTCCGCGTGAAGCTATACAGTTCAAAATAACGTTTTCTACAGTTCCATTTCGAATTCATGTTCAATTTATTAATATGGTCACT